TGCTGAACATCCACACAAGAAGAGGCCCTGACCCCGTGTTCGCTGTTTGGCTCAGAGCTAAGGATAGGTTAGGGTACTTGGTAACTATCTGAAGAACACATTTGCCTGACTATAGTGTTTATATCCTTAGGGGAGCCCCTGGTGGCCAAGGAGGCCCACGGACACCTATCCCTAGCTGAGGTGGGCACAGAGGAGTTCCTGCAGAAACTCACTTCTCAGATCACTGAGATGGTATCAGCCAAGATTACACAGGGTGAGGAGCCAGGGCCCATGTGCTGGGGTCTGTGCCATGATCTCCTTCCCACTCCTGAGCCCTGGAGACCAAAGAGGTGGGGCAGCGGGGCGTCAGTCCTTCTAGGGGTATCACAGCCCTTGTGTCCACCCAGCCAAGCTGCAGGTGCCTGGAGGAGACAGTGATGAGGAGTCCAAGACGCCGTCTGCTTCTCCTCGGCATGGCCGCTCACGGCCTTCCTCCAGCGTCCAGGAGTCTTCCTCAGAGTCAGAGGATGGTGACTCCCGTGGTGAGGTGGGCAGGCTGGGGCCCTCTGGGAGTGGGGTTAGGAGGAGGCCCTCACCCTCCTGAAAAGAAGGTGTGGGGCTGAGAGGAGCAGGGAGCAAGCCTCTCTCAGTTCATGGGAGTGGCAGGGAGCTCAGTGCTGTAGGAGCTGCTTTTCACCTAGCTGCTGCCAAAGCTTTGAACAGATGGTCTGGGGCAAATCAGCGGAAACAGCCTTCAGGTGTTCAGAACTACGTCCAATGACAGGCAAGAGAAGACTAGACTATTCTCTGCAATGTGACGCCAGTCTGACAAATCATCCAAACATGCAGACTGACTTAGAAGGGTCTGTGTGCCCATTCTAGAGATTAGCCACCTGCAGTCTCATTGATCATGACTCTGTAAAGTATACAGATCAGTGTGTTTTTAATTTATTTTTATTCTTTTTTTAAACATTCGATCACTATACATCAGCAGGTCAGTGAGTTTTGACAGAACTTCACACTTATGCAACCAAAAAAATACCCATGACCCAGGATGTCCCAAGCAACCTCAGAGAGTCCCCTTTGCCTCTCTGAGGTGGCCTCCTTTGGCACCCTTGATAGGATTCCCATCAGTAGAAATCAGTGGTGCATATTTTAGAACTTACAGAAACAGAATCTTTCTCTCCCCATAATGTCAGAGACTAGTGTTTTTTGAAACAAAGGCAAAAATCAAAGAATATAGATGAGTATGTTTTAAAATGCTCTAAAATATCAAGATGGACAGAGTGTCCAGGACAGCTTCTGGAGACTACTGACCATTGGGTCTGACTCAGAATCAGGTCCTCCCTAAACAGGTTTCTGCAATGACCCTGCCTTCTGCAAAGCCACTCATTCATTTGTTCAATCATTCATTTGATTACTAACAAGTTTGTTTGTTCATTTATTCATCTGAGAATGCATATCATACTTCCAGACGCCAGGTTCTCTGTTAGGTTTTGGGATGGTGGGAGACAGTGAACAAGTAATAGAGTACAGACAGCCCCAGCCTGGGAACCTTTGGGACTTGTGATCTCTCGGGGTGAGATGAGAGATCTGCTCCTACTCAGGGCAGAGCAGGTCACAATGTTCCTGCCTTTTACATGGGAGCAGGAGCCGGTCCTTGTGCAAAATGACCCTGGAGTCCCCTAACTCGGTGCTCCCTAACTTCTTCATGACTCTTTCATGTATCCCCCTTCTGTGTGTCACAATTCAGTGCCCCTTCCCCACTAGATCTTTGATATCTACGTGGTCACAGCCGACTACCTGCCCCTGGGTGCTGAGCAGGATGCCATCACACTGCGAGAAGGCCAGTATGTAGAGGTCCTTGACTCGGCCCACCCGCTGCGCTGGCTTGTGCGCACCAAGCCCACCAAATCCAGCCCTTCAAGGCAGGGCTGGGTGTCACCTGCCTACCTGGACAAAAGGCTCAAGGTACCTGGCTGGCTGGTGACAGATGGAGGTTGGGGTTCTGGAAAACTTGGTTCTTGGGCTACAGGCCCCTTGAATTATTGTCCTATTTGAGGGATGGGAGCTGGACCTCCACTGGCACAGGCCCAGAGCTTCAACTGCTTTGACAGATTCTTGTTTCTCAGCAGCTTTCACCTGAATGGGGGGCAGCCGAGGCTCCTGAGTTCCCTGGGGAGGCCATGTCTGAAGATGAGTATAAGACGAAGCTAAGGTGAGTAGCCAGCAGGATTAGTGGCAGCAGCCTTTGCATCCCACCATCTGGACTATTACTGAAACTGGCTGCTTGTCTTCGTTTTAGGTGTAGACCTGACCTTTGGGGAGTTGGGACCCTGGGTTCTGGCCATGCTGCTTCCTTGTGGGGGTTTCTGAAATGCCGACTCCATATAAGACTCCGCTAGGGATGGGCAGGAGTGGAGTAGAGCAGAGCAGGCCCCAGCCTTGCCCCTGTTTCCTGCAGCTGCATCCCACTGGGCCTCATCTAGTAGGATCATGCTGGGTGACTTCATGGTCATGCGGGTAGACTTATAAAAAAGAGAGAGGGGAATACTTTCCCTCCACCATCTTGCCTCCTTTTTGACATCAATCATTAGGTGGAAGTAGCAAGTGCTTCCATTTAGCAGCTGAGGGTTCGTTGGTCATAGAAGGAGCAAACTTAGCTGTAACCACAGAGTTCCTGGGTCTCTGTGTAGGAGACAGAAGCAGAGACTAGCACTGGAACTCCTGGATCTGCCCTCATGGCTGTTTCTCTCTCTTACCCAGCTCTGTCATCCAGGAGCTGCTGAGCTCAGAGCAGGCCTTTGTGAATGAGCTGCAGTTCCTGCAGAGCCACCACATGCGACATTTGGACCGCTGCCCCCATGTGCCCGCCGCTGTGGCCAGCCAGAAGGCAGTCATCTTCCGCAATGTGCAGGACATCAGCCACTTCCACAGCAGGTGGGCACATGGGCAGGATTGCATGTACAATACAGGTGTATGTGCATGTGCTTGCTGCAGAGGTGGGCCCTTTGGGGTGGTCAGGGAGCCTGTACTGCCTTAGTTTGCTTATCATTGCATGATGTCTCTGTACAAGGACATAGCTGTGCCCCTAAGACCACAGATGTGTGTGTCTGGCTTGCATGGGAAGGGTCTGTAGTACACCTACTGCTGGTGAACATATGTGCACATCCACATGTGCACTTCTTTATATAGCTGCACACTTGAGCCCTCTACCTAACCCAGTGCATTCACTCTACAGCCTCTAGGACCCACAGGGACCAAACCCTTGGGCTTTCTTTCTCCCATACAAGAGGGCCCAGGGCTGGGTCATGGGTTGTGGGTTGGGGTTGGCCCCATCCTCACCACTGTCCCCTTCCATGGCAGCTTCTTGCAGGAGCTGCAGCACTGTGACACAGATGATGATGTGGCCATGTGCTTCATCAAGAACCAGGCAGCCTTTGAGAAGTACCTGGAGTTCCTGGTGGGCCGAGTGCAGGCCGAGTCAGTGGTTGTCAGCACGGCTGTCCAGGAGTTCTACAAGGTGCCATCATACTTGAGCTCAGTGGACCGTTCAGCCCCATCCTGCCCAGCTTTCAGGCCTCAGTGCTGGCCCTCACCTCCCATCTAAAGGCTTCCTGACATTGGCCACCTTTGAAGCTCAGCCTGGCCTGCCTTCACTGGCAGCCTGAGTTCATCTTTTTGACCCTCGCCACTATCCACAGCCTCGTTCATCTTTTTGACCCTCGCCACTATCCACTGGGCCCAGAGTGCCCTTGGGCCCAAGATTAGTGAGAAATGCCAGCAGAGCATCCTGCTGCCCTCTGCTCCTGGACCGGGGCTTAAGCTGTCCAAGCTTTGTGTTCACCACTGTCCAGTGTCAGATGCCAGCCATTGCTCGGGGTCTGTGCATCCTTGGGGACCATCCACAGACTCTCAGGGGACCTAGCCATGCCCGGGGCAGGAGGAGGCTGCCCACTGTGCAGGATAGTGTACACCACTGAGAGCCATCCACCAGTGCTCAGGGTGACTACAGTCATCGGGGGTGGGGTACATGCATTCCTATCCTGAAATGTGCCCTGTGGTTCCCACAGAAGTACACAGAGGAGGCGCTCTCAGCTGGAGATCCCTCTCAGCCGCCCCCACCACCGCTGCAGCACTACCTGGAGCAGCCAGTGGAGCGGGTGCAGCAATACCAGGCCCTGCTGAAGGTGAGCACAGGCTCTGCCTCCTGCCCAGGCTGGGCCTCACAGGGTCTGGGCTGTGGAGCAATCCAAAGCCCTTGACCCCCTTACCACCTACAGGAACTGATCCGTAACAAAGCTCGAAACAGGAAGAACTGTGCACTGCTGGAACAAGCCTATGCGGTGGTGTCAGCCCTGCCCCAGCGCGCTGAGAACAAGCTACACGTGTCTCTTATGGAGAACTACCCCGGCACCCTGGAGGCCCTGGGCGAGCCCATCCGCCAGGTAGGGGGATGGAGATGGGGAGCTGCAAGGTGGTGGGGGACTTTGACAGTATGCTGGTCCTGTAGGCAGCCGCAGGGTAGACCCTACTGGGTAAGCCTAGCCACCTGTAGATCAACTGTAGTCTGACTGTAGCCCACACTCCACTCCTCAGGGCCACTTCATCGTGTGGGAGGGAGCACCAGGGGCCCGGATGCCTTGGAAGGGCCACAACCGCCATGTCTTCCTCTTCCGTAACCACCTGGTGATCTGCAAGCCCCGGCGAGACTCTCGCACCGATACCTTCAGCTATGTGTTCCGGAACATGATGAAGGTGTGTGAGCACTGGGGACAGGTGGGTTCTCTGCTGGGTGGGTGAAGGCCTCCCTGTCTCTCTGGCTCCAGGATAGGTACCAGTAGCCACCATTCTAGGGTAACCTGGGTCTGGCACCAGATCCTGTGTCTATTTAAGGATGGTCAGCTCCTTCCTGTCCCCCAGTGATGTCCTCTCCTGTCTATAGTTGAGCAGCATCGACCTGAATGACCAGGTGGAGGGGGATGATCGTGCCTTCGAGGTGTGGCATGAGCGAGAGGACTCAGTGCGCAAGTACCTGCTGCAGGCGCGGACGGTCATCATCAAGAACTCGTGGGTGAAGGAGATCTGTGGCATCCAGCAGCGCCTGGCCCTGCCTGTGTGGCGTGAGTGTCCACCTCCACAGGGACCCTCGCAGCTGAGCCAGGATCAGAGCACCTGTCCAGCTTGGCTTCACCCTGGCTGACAAATTCCCAAGTCTTGAGATGCCCACACAACACAGTCTGTGAGAGAGTAGGCTTGTTCCTTGGGAAGATGACCCAACTCTCTCTCTTAGACCTCTGTGGGTAGGGTACAATTACTTTAACCTCATGGGGAGCCCCCAAGCTATGGGACTGGCTTTGATCCAAGTGGGGGGACATGTTGGAGAGACATACTGGGGTTCCTGAGCTCAGGGCATCCATCCACATCACATCTGAAGATGTGAGTGATCTGGCAATCTGGGATCTGTTTCCTCAACTGGAATGGAACCTTCTTTTCTACAGGCTTCATCACTCCACAGTAAACACAAGATTGTGTTTGCTTCATCCTAGATGAAGGGTGGCAAAAGACAATTTCCTTAGCAACCAGACCCTTGAACGTGGGGCTACTGTCACAGGGTGGGGAGACCTGCCAGAATATATCCAAGAGCACCGTAAGCCTGATATTCCACTCAGAGTGCTCAAAGACTGTGTATGTGTGTATCCTCAGGTCCCCCAGACTTCGAAGAGGAGTTAGCTGACTGCACAGCTGAATTGGGCGAGACAGTCAAGTTGGCCTGCCGTGTGACAGGCACACCCAAGCCCATTGTCAGCTGGTACAAAGGTATGCCCTCTTCCCCAATGATGGGGGGCCCCAGCCTTCCCTGCAACAGGGAAGAGCTGCCAGAAGAAAAATGAGCTGTGCAAAGTGTGGGGTCTGGTTAGGGCAGCCTGGAGCAGGATAAACAGACTTCATTTATCCACTCGTCTCTCTACCCCTAAATCAAAGATAGCCTGGCCAGGGAGTACAGAGGGATGTGGGGGAGAGGATAGAGAGAGAGACAGGAATGCTTAGGTGTCTTTTATGTCTCAGATTCACTGACTGTTGCTCATTAGCAGCAAACAAGCTAAAGCAGCCCTGTCTAAGGGGCCAGTGTTCTAGAAGGGGAAATAGATGACAAACAGACTATGATATAAAGTCAGGTAGTGACATAGCTGCCCAGAAGTCAAGGGGCAGAGCACAATGGGGTCAGTACAGACTTCTGTGGTGGATATGTCTACAGCTCCAGATGAGCAGCGAGACAGCCATGGGAGCATGGGGATTGGGGGAAGGGAAGGGCAAAACAAAGGAAGAGACATTGAAGCAGGTACAGCTTCAAGTGTTGGAGTGACAGGCTTGGTCATGTGAGCAGGATGAGCCATGAGGATGATGTTGGGATCTGAGGGCATGATGGACATCTTGGATTTGACTGTGTGATGGGAACTGCAAAGTTCAGGGATCTCCATGTCAAGTCTCACTTCTGGTACCAATGACACAGGGACTCGGGAGTGCAGAGGTGATCAGGCTCCACACCTGCAGTAGGACACAGGTTCTTGTCCACAGCTCATGAAGTATTAGAGACATGGGCATAGGTAGGCAAGTGGAGTTTATTAAGAGAGGGAAGGAAGAACAGAGCTCCCAAGCAGAGAGCAGGCCCCAAATGAGTTGCCAAAGAGAAACTGAGGTCCCTTTGTGGTGGGGGTCACATGCTAGATGGGTGCAGTTATTTTTTTTTCCCCTAATTTTGGAGTGGGAGAGGATAGAGAGAGAGACAGGAATGCTTAGGTGTCTTTTATGTCTCAGATTCACTGACTGTTGCTCATTAGCAGCAAACAAGCTAAAGCAGCCCTGTCTAAGGGGCCAGTGTTCTAGAAGGGGAAATAGATGACAAACAGACTATGATATAAAGTCAGGTAGTGACATAGCTGCCCAGAAGTCAAGGGGCAGAGCACAATGGGGTCAGTACAGACTTCTGTGGTGGATATGTCTACAGCTCCAGATGAGCAGCGAGACAGCCATGGGAGCATGGGGATTGGGGGAAGGGAAGGGCAAAACAAAGGAAGAGACATTGAAGCAGGTACAGCTTCAAGTGTTGGAGTGACAGGCTTGGTCATGTGAGCAGGATGAGCCATGAGGATGATGTTGGGATCTGAGGGCATGATGGACATCTTGGATTTGACTGTGTGATGGGAACTGCAAAGTTCAGGGATCTCCATGTCAAGTCTCACTTCTGGTACCAATGACACAGGGACTCGGGAGTGCAGAGGTGATCAGGCTCCACACCTGCAGTAGGACACAGGTTCTTGTCCACAGCTCATGAAGTATTAGAGACATGGGCATAGGTAGGCAAGTGGAGTTTATTAAGAGAGGGAAGGAAGAACAGAGCTCCCAAGCAGAGAGCAGGCCCCAAATGAGTTGCCAAAGAGAAACTGAGGTCCCTTTGTGGTGGGGGTCACATGCTAGATGGGTGCAGTTATTTTTTTTTCCCCTAATTTTGGAGTGCGTACAAAGGTCAGAAGACTCCCTTTGTCTGAAAGCTTTGGGCCATAAAAGATTGTTATATTACCTTCTTCCTGGAATGTGGTAGGACCGGGAAAAAAACCCTTTGTTTTATATCAATCAAGTCCTGCTGCAAGCCATTTCTTGTGTTGCTGTTGAGCCGTGTGTCTCCATCTTAAAACTCAAAGGGAACGGGAGTTCCATTTGAAGGTCTTTAAGGAACCTTCATATTGTTCTCCACAGTGGCTGGACAAATTTACATTCCCACCAACACTGCAGGATGTATAATGATTGAATTTATAAATAATAATAAAAGAAATTACCACAAAAAAGCACACAAAACTTAAAGGGGATAGCATAATGGTTACCTCGCTGGACTCCCACATAGTCGAACAGACTCAACAGCTTAAACCTCACGCTGGGTGCATGTGCATGCATGCCCAAAATCCCAAGAGGAGAATGGCCATCTCCCTGGGGGATGATTTCTTGCTTTCTGTCTCTCTGTCTCTCCAGCATGCACAAGCACCCTATAGCAAACACCTTTCTCTAAAAAAAAAAAATACAAAACATAAAGGGGAGCTCCCGAATGAGTAGCTTCTTATATGGTAAGATCCTTAAGGATTGGTGCTGGGAGGTGGCGTGGTGGTTAAGAGCACTGGACTCCCACATGACTGACCACAGTTTGAGTCCTGAACCTAGTGGCTTGCTTTCTTGCTTTCCACTCTCTCTCTCTCTCTGCCTCTCTGTCTCTCTCTGTCTCTCTCTCTCTTTTCCTCTCTGATCAATTTTAAAAAAAAATAAGCAAATAAATAAAGTTAAATTAAAAAATAACTTTAAAAAGAACCTTAAGGTTTATAAGGCTTTATTTACAAGGAAGTATTGGCTTAACAGTCACAGATATTTTATATTATTTAGACTTGTGGTATGGGTGTCCTTCGGACCTAATCGTGGACCTTTGCTGTGTATTTTGGGCCTTTCTCATAGTTTCCATTGGGCCCAGGTGTGTTTTCCATCAAATTTAAATAGATTCTGGAATTAAGAAATTAACAGGCCCTCGACTTTGACTATAATTGTTCTTTTACATGTCCTGTGGGAAGGTCTGTGATGGCTGGAAGGGAAGAGGGGAATATTTTCAAAGAGCAGGAATCAGTTGCCTGCCTTTACGTAATCCCCTCTTTGTCAGCCTTCCATTATGGCTCCTCTAGTGCCTAACCACTTAGCCAATCTCTACCTCACCAACTGAAAATTGTAGTTCCCCGGACCTCCAAGTGTCAGTCCTCACTTCTAATACCAAGTTTTTGGTCTTGAGATTTTCCTCCCTCCCTCCCTCTGACACAACTGTAGGTTCCAGGGTCCACAAGATTACATTCAGGTTCAACAATTGACTAGAAGAATTCAAAGAACTCAGCAAAACCTTTGTGCTCAGGGAGTCCAAGTCACAGAGGGTAGCCTCATTTTGAGTTCTCTCCAATTGTTGGAGGACTGCCCAAGTTACCAGTAGGATTCCCTGAAATACCTGAAGGTCCTCCATAATCACCTGAAGGAGCAGGTTTCCATGCATATTGGTTGGAGGCAGGTCCATACCAACTTCCACACATGAAGTCCTGAGTGAACAATTGTTTACAGTTTCGGGGAGAAACCCTGGGAACCCAGGGGGCACACAGAAGAACGCATTGGTTACCAATGCCTCCTATGTGGTTCCTCAGGGCCTCCCATAGGGTCACCTGGACTGTCAGGTAATCCTCACATGGGCTGTCTGCTAAGTCTCTCCTGGACTGTTTGATAATTTTTACCTGGTTGGCTGATAAGCCTTCACATGGTGAGCATCCCTCATGGGGGGTGCTTTCTGCCTCTCTATCTCTCTTTGGTGAGTGTACACATCCTCTGGCTAATTTTTTAAAAAGAAAAGGAAAAAAAATGTCTGGCATGTTATACACAGCTGGGAAATGGCAGTTCAAGAGCATCTGCCTTTGAGCCAGGATGAGACAAGCCTCTCTTCTTCCCCATGAGAGGCTCTCTTTAGGTGGGAGGGTGAGACATTTGCTTTTTGGTGGCATTGGAAGCCAAAACACCAGTTGAAAAGGATGAGACACAAGGGTGTGGCCAGGGAGAGGAGTGAATGACCTGGGACAGGCCAGTGGACCAGGGTTATGGTGGGCCCCACTTGATCAAGGAAACTTCTTGCTGCCATGTCCAGCTGTAGGGGCTGGCTGGCAGCAGCATGGGGCATGTTGTGGGTGAGAGAAGAGAAGGGGGTGATAGGCAGTGATTTTGAGAGGGGTTGCAACTTCTGGTTTGGGTAGGGGGTTATGAGAATGGGGCTGATGGTCAGTGACTGGTGCGCAGTTAGTGTGTTGGAGGTTCCCAGGAAGTTGCAGGATTATTAGGGTGCCACTGACGATCTGGCTGTCCATACATCATGTCCTCTGTGGGGTTCAACTCTCTTCCCCAACCCTGCTGCTAGATAGCATATGAGTTACACAGAAAAAAGACAGACATAGAGACAGAAAGTGAGACACAGACAGGCCAGGACAGAGAGACAGAGAGATGGAGATAGGAGACACAGAGAGACAGAGCCAGATATATAGAGAGACAAAGATAGGCAGAGACACAGAGGCATTGATAGAGACACAAAGAGAAGGAGTGGCTCATCTTGAGCTCTTCCTGCAGGGCTCCAGGTTAGCCTGGCCTTTGTACTCCAGGTACACCCCTCAGTCACTGCTCCATGATGTGAACTCCAGGCCAGGCCCAACCTCTTATTCCTGATGGGGTTGGCCTTTGGGTCTCTCCCCCCATGATGGCCCTCACCCCTCCTTTCCAGATGGGAAACCAGTGGAGGTGGACCCTCATCACATCCTCATTGAAGACCCTGATGGCTCCTGTGCTCTCATCTTGGACAACTTGACTGGTGTGGACTCTGGCCAGTACATGTGCTTTGCAGCCAGTGCTGCTGGAAATGCCAGCACCCTTGGCAAAATCTTGGTGCAAGGTAAGCCTGGGAGACCTGCCTGGATGCATGGCCACCCTGACCTCACTGCACCATGATTGAGGGGGTGGAGCTGTGGGTGGAGCTGGCAGTGTGGCCAGAGGGTGAGGGAAACAGGAGACTGTGGTCTGAGGGGATCACTGAGGGATCAGGGAAGGCACTGGTAGGGAGAGTGCCTTGCATACTCTGCCTTGGCACTGCCCATTGCTCTATCACAGCATCTCTGTGTCTCTGTCTCTATGTCTGTGTCTCTGGCTCTGTTTTTTTCCCTGTCTCTCTACATATCTCTATCTCTGTCTCCATCTTTCTGACTCTGTCTCTCTGTGTCTTTCTGTCCCTCTGACTGTCTCTCTGTCTCTCTTTTTCTCCACTCCCCACAACAGTTCCCCCACGATTTGTGAACAAGGTCCGGGCTGCACCCTTTGTGGAGGGAGAGGATGCCCAGTTCACCTGCACCATTGAAGGCGCTCCATATCCTCAGATCAGGTGGGCCGTTGTTGGCACAGGGATGGGGTGACTCCTAATGCCACAACTCCTGTCTGTGACTTGAGAGGTGGGCAGTGCATTTCCTGGGTCAAGTGTGTGTTGGACATACAATCACTGTCTGATCACTAAAGGGCCATGACTGATCATTGCAGGGCCATGGTTCATTCTGGACATTCTGGCTCATTCTGGCTCATTATAGGCTAGATTTAGGCTCTGGAAGGGGAGGGCTCTATAAAGACATGGATGTAGGAGTCAGGCAGTGGGGATTCTGAGTGTGAGAAGCACAGCCTAGGGATGGTTCTGAGCACAAGAACCATGAGTTTTCATTGGTGGGGCAGTATGTGGCTTGAACCTCACCTAATGAGCCCTTTGGGGTGGGTTCTAGGTGGTACAAGGATGGAGCCCTGCTGACCCCTGGCAGCAAGTACCGGATGCTAAGTGAGCCCCACAGTGGCATTCTGGTGCTGGTGATCCGGGCAGCCACAAAGGAAGACCTGGGACACTATGAGTGTGAGGTGAGATGTACAGGCAAAAGAGATGAGGAGACGCCTGCCTCTGGGGCCCCAGGCCTTTGTCATCCTTACTATAGGGGCGGATTGTGGAGGAGCTAAAGAGCCCAGGCCTCACCATCCAGGTGTGGGGGTTCTAGGGAAAGGCCAGGGAACAATATGCCCACTGTCAGCCACCATTCACGACAATGGGCTGGGGATGCCAGGCTCCTGTCACCCATCGTCCCTAGGCACACCATTCCTCCACACTGTGACTTTGCAGTCTCCCGCCCTAAGGCCTCCCATCTCCTCCTACTTGAAGCTGGCACCCTCTTTTGCCATTGCTCCCATTTCATGGATGCCATTTGATTTGGTTGTTGTTGTTTTTTTGTCTTTTTGAGGAAGCCTGGGGCTGACTTCATAAATTTTATTTATTCATGTAAAAATGTACTATTAGTTACACAGCATTACCTGGAATCATACAGGTATCTTCTCCTTGTGGAAGCTTCTAGGCCTATCAGAGACAGAGTTGCTCTCTGCCCCATTCACTGTGTCCACAGCTTGGGAACTGAGGACTCCCAGGGACTGGTCTGAGTCCGAGTCCTCTGGTATTCCAAGGGGGTCCCAGCCCACAGCGACCCAAAGAGTTGTGTGTCAACTACAGGTGTCGGGGAGCCCCAGG